TCCCAATTCCTGATCTTAGACTGTATGTCCCATCTCTATTGTGGCTGGCTTATTGTTTTTTTTTGTTTGTTTGCCTGGTTATTTTTTTTATCCCAATAGTTCATGGAATTAAAGTGGAAGAAAGCTTTTTACACTTTTGTGGGTTAGAATTGTTTTTTCCTGTTATTTTTCTCATTGAATATGCATATTATAGGGCAACAAAACCAGAAGAGCTAGCAGAAGGCATGCAGCAGAATTGGGAGTTCCAGACTGGAAGCTATGAGATCAGTTTATCTTTAGCCACAATTTGAGTTTTCATTTAATTTTTATTTTTTTCTCTATCAAATACAGAAAAATTAACCTTCCCAGAGGAGGGTCCAGTCTTAAACTAGACATCTCCCTCCTCTTTTAAGGGAAGAAAAAATAGGAAATAATAGTAGAAAATAATATGAAATGTCCAGTGCTTCTATTCCCTTGGGATTTAGTCAATCTAAGGAAATAATTACTGATGGTGATATGGACTGAAACAGAGAGTGTATCACCTTCATAGCAAATTCGAAGATCTGGATGAATAGGGTCTTCACCCCTTCTCTTAAAACTGAGACATTCATATTATGCCTGTGGACATAAAAGAGAAAAGGAAGACTGACTGTGTTGGATTATTAGGACACTCAGCTGGGAGTGAGGGAGATGATTCTAGTTGTGCCTAGCAGGTATGATAGGCAATTGGAGTGCCAGCTGAGAGGTACCTAAGTTTTAGTGGAACACACCATGTGTCTACAAGGGAATAAAATGTACCTTTTCTGTACAGAAAGAACAGGAGCAGAAGAAAACATAGCAAATGTATTGATGTAGACTGTTCAAGAAAGCTACATCTCCAAACTGAATATTGTCTTGAACATAACATGGACACTGGAAAACAAACTATTGTTCTGTCTAGAGACACAGTAAGAAATGTGGAGAGTAATCCTGGCCTTGTGCAACACACAAAAATTCAGATAGGGAAACTGGGGAATCATTCATACTTTGGGTGATTTTAGCTAGGTGCAAAGATAAATCAGATCTTGATAAGATAGATTTCATAATTGTTTGGGAAGAAGAAATAGCTAGGCCAAAAGATCAGACATGCATTTTAAAAAAAAAAAAAAGACTGTATACTGTAGGGCAGAAATCATTAGAGATATAAAATATCTTTCCAAGACATCTTTAATAGAAGAGGTAATACATCAGCAGAATATGAAACAGATAAGAGAACCCAATTATCCTGGGATAAATGTAATAAAAATAGTCCTACTGTGCACAAAATAAACCTCTCAATGGTAATTTAGGTAGATTGGTTACACTTGGTATTCTAGAGAGTTCAAGAACATGCTGAATGATTTCTTTCTTCAGTAGCTAGATTTCAATAGGAGGAGATGATCACAAGTAATTTGAACAACTATGGTAAAAAAAATATCAATCACTAGCTACTGAAGAAGAAATTTTGCGGCAAACAATATGTGTTCAATATTGTGCATTGATTGTGAATTTTTTTTTTTCCTTTGAGAAGAAGTTTGTAAGCTTTTAGTACGTTTTTTAGGGAACTGTGGATCTGCTGGTTTATGTTTGGAGTTATGTTTTCTACCTGAAGTACAGTCCCAAAAGATATAAATAGTTGAAACTATTCAGATTATTAAGGTGTGATACATAGTCTAATGTAAGATGAAACTATGCAGAAGCATAGCTAGACATCCAGATAAGCTCTGAAAATGATTCTTGTTGCAGATTTAAAACACAACAAGTAAAAGGCTAAAGAAACCATAGAATTAGGTGAAGTGTCTTGTTATGAGATATGCATAATTCTTATTAGGATAGAGGTGAGTCCTTGACCTGCAGAAAGAATATTATGTACAAAAATTTGTGGGACCTTCATGTTTTGGGGAAGTTTTTATCTAGCCTAGTTGCTTTCTTAAGGGCCTTTCTTAATCAGTGAAAGTGCAGAACAGATAAGAGCCATCAATCAAAACATGGAGTTTGAAATTCTTACACAATTCAAACAGAAGGTAGCTGTGCTGACATTCGAGTACAGTAGGTGCCAGACAAAGCTGTCACCTGATGCTTGTAAGCAGGGCCTTGAGGGCATGCTTGTGCAAAGGCAGGATGATCGCTTGAGATTCACAGCATATGCTTCCAAAGCTTGGACTGAATCTGAGCATTTGTGTGCAGAAGCAAATAAAGAGGATCTCTAGCTGTACTGTATGCAAGAAAGGAAATGTGTTGGTTCCTTTTTCCTGAGGGAGACCAGGTTTGGTAGAAGAGTCATGGGTTTTGAAAGACAACTACAAAAAAGAAGTTAGAAAAGGCTTCTGGATTTCAGAAACTTTTATTTTTCAGTTTCAATTGTACAGTTTACACACAGAGATGAAAGAGGAAAAGGCACTGTGGTAACAGAAAATTTGTCTTCAGCTTGGGATAGAAATGAAGTAGGAAGATATAGGAGTCTGATACTGGAACTAGGTGAGCCTGCTCAGAAAAACTGCTTCACAAGGTGTGACAGTTCTCTCAGAGGACACAGTCTGTCACTGCAGAAGTTGCAACATAAAATCAAACTGCCAAAGATAGTGATGGTTATTAACATCTTGCCCTTATAACAACTTTGAAGCAGATCTTTGTGACAGAGATGATACTGTGTTTAAGAACAAGAGGCTTTATTCTGTGTTGATTTCAGAAGGTTGGTTGCTATTTTCCACATGTGGTGGTAACAGAAAGATGAATATTAAACATAAAATTAGGTCGATTCAGCTTGTAGTTAAGTTACAGAGTAGTATCCTTTAATCTGATTCTTTCAACTGCTCCAGTGTTGTTCAGATGAAAACAGATATCAGACCATTAAACTATTTAACCAAAAATAATGGTATTGTATGCTGTTGTAAATACTATAGGAGATTTTGTGAGAGGTACATGTATCTATATACATGCATATATATGGAGGGGAGATAAAGATGGGAAAAGACAGGCACAATGGATCAAATCTGCTAACACGATAGAACTGGGTTTATGTGTATATTATTCAAATTAAAACAAAATGTAAAAATATGGGCAAAGAAAATAGTGGTCCTTGAGGAATGTTGCCTTATTACGGGGAAGTGGCAGCTAAGCAAAGCAACCTTATAAATAATATAATGCATATTTCAGAGCCTTCTTTGAGGGAAGACAGGAAAGAGGTGGATTCTGTGTGTCTGTCTTCTAAAAAAGAACAAACTGTTGAGTGCAAAAGCATCAGAGGAAGTGCTGAGCAATGAAACACAGAACAAATACCTAGTAGTGTGTATCACCTCTTTGGAAAGGGCTGTTGAAGGATAAGTAATGTACAACTTTGTGTTGCAAGGCAACACCTCTGGAACATTCTTGTAAAACTGGTTTGACGTCTGTATACAAGGAGAACCAGCTTGGATACAAGGACAGGTGCAGACCTTTCCTCCTCTTCAGATCTTAGAAAAATATTTGTAGCTTGTTTGCTAAATAACAAAGGTTTGCCTTAGAAATGAGTCCAGGGACAGAAATTTCATTACTTGCAGGATAGCTGCAAGTGCAGGTCTGGTTGTTGGACAGTGAATGCCATGGCAAGCTGCTGTGCCCACTGCAGCTCCTGCCCTGCCAGAATGGCTGGCTTTCCTGCCAAGGAAGCCAAGGCAGGCCTGGTGGGTGCCCAGGTCTTGTCTTGGATCTATACTGGGGGAAATGGGAACTTGGAGTGAGCCATGGGGCTCACCAGCTTTCAGCATCAGTGTTTAGCATCAGTTCTCAGATGTTAACAGCCACCTAACAACATTACTTTGCCCCGGAGGCTGCTCACTTTGTCTCTTAGCCTAATCATTGATTTTTAGTCTAGTTCTAGTGAGACTAATCTGACTGCACCTGTATTCTTTCTCCTGTTTGATTATCAAATATACTTTTCTCAGCTCAGCAGCTCCATTTCCTGAAGCCCTGCTAACTGTCAGTCCTTTTCTCCTTGTTTTCTTCTTTCCCACTTGGGATATTCTTCAGTTCTGTTTTCTTCTCTATGAAATCTATACCACAATATGCTCCATCACCCATTAATTTGTTGCTATTTTTCCTTGCTGAGTCATAGATTTGGATCTTGTCTCCCCTTTAGGTCAATGCTTAGGATTCCTCCTCTATATTTCTTACAGCCTGGAGAAGCAAGAGTGTACCATAGACAGCCAAGAGACAGATACCATTTTATTCTTTCCAGTTCTAGCATTTATGCAGTCCCACTCCTACTTTCCTGACTGTGAAAACTGTTAAGTGAAAAGTCTGACATTTCATACAGTGACATCATAGCTTTGGTTTATATTTGGATTGTATGAGCCTGTTGCCTAACCCGTGACTTACTGCAGAAGCTATGAAAGAATATATGGTCTAGAAGCACTATGAAGATATGAGGGGACTGAGCACAGTGAGCTGCTCTGCAGATCTGGTGCCTGTGCTGTCTGGTTTGGCACTGTGTGAAACTCAAGCATGCTACATGGAAAGTTTTTATTAATCTTGTATTAGTGTTAACTGAGGGCACTGACAGGCCCCCGCCCATTGTATCAGGATCCTCATTTAAGCTCAGGCTGGGGTTAGTGGTCCTGGTTTAAGTTATGACACAGTTGTATCTGTGTTAAGACCCTGTCTCCTGGATGGATCATCTGTATGGACACCAGCCCTTGTTCATCACTTGCTCCTTTCTCAGGCTGTCTGTAGACCCTATTAGCAACCCTGTCCAACATGGTCAGCCCCAGGAGCACAACCACCATTGGTGTTGATGTCTATTCTGGCTTCCCAACCCTGAGAGAGCAGCCATCTGTTGCTGTGCCCTGACACTAGTTTGCCTCTAATATACGCAGTCTGACCCTCATATATGTACTTTGGCCAGTCTGGAGGCTGGAAAAAAAAAAAAAAAAAAAAAAAAAATCTGTATCAAATGCTTCTGTTAAAGCAGAGCAATGATACCAAAAGAGTACAGAATTATATTCAGTTATCCTTTCTCCCCACAGAGCTTCACAGTGTGCAGATCCACATCAGCTTTAACATCACGAGGAAGTTATTTATGGAAGATACTGTAGGTGGGGAAAAGAAAATTCCATCCCTTGGAAGAGTTGGCTGCTTATGCAGTTCCTCCATGTGATAGATGTCTCTGGTAGGTGTTTGTCTTCATGGCAGATTTCTGTCTAAAGTTGTACTACTTCCTTCAGTGCATTGGCTCTTGTAGCCCTTTGCTCGGGTCCTGACCTTGATTATACATTCTGTTTTATGGATAAGTGCAGGATTCAAAAAAACCCCTATTGTTGTACTTCTTAATTCTCTAGCCAGTTCAAGATCCTTCCTCTTGCAGAAAATGTTTGAGATTAATACATGACTTTTGGGTTTGCCGGAAAAAGTAATGAAGCATTTGGACCTTTAGCTTGTGGGCCTTTTATTTAATTTTATTCCTCCCTCACAGCTTGGATCATGGAGCTGGAGCTGAGGGAGCAGGCAGTCATGCCTTCAAACTGTAATTTGCCTTCAGCTGTAGCATTTCTTGACATATGAACACAGTCCCCAAATGTAAGTGCTGCAGTGTTCCCATTCATGTTGTTTCTGTAACTGAGTACTTATGGCATACTGATATAGGAGCCCTCTTTGTTCAAGAATGTGTGCAGTATGGTTTTGTACAAAATCTATTATACTGGGTAACTATGGATTGTCTGAGTGGCTGGATGTGTTAGTATCTAAAGACATTTATTATTTCTTGTTGCAAAATATTTTTCCTTCACACTTCTTGTTCTCTGTGTTTTTTGTGATTTTACTCTGTTACTTGATTGTTATTATGCTTGTTTATTTTGGGTAGAAGGTTATTAGTGTGTTGTTTGTAAATGATTCTTTTTCAAAGAAGGATTTTTTTTTTTTTTTTCTAATTTCTTCTATTTTAGGTATCTGGTTTATCTCATTTGCTAATTATATCAGCTAATCTTCCCAACCATATGACTGTATTGCATGTCTGGTCATATGACTGAATTAGTTTCTTATGAATTTGTGATCGTTTTCTCCTTAAATGCATGCAGGGCAGCGTACAACTCCTAGTTATCATCTAGTGAATAAGACTTTTATTTAAAAACAGATTATATATTTCTCCCCTCTGGCTTGATATATTATTCTTAAACCATTTTAAAAATAAGGCACTTTTTTTATTTTTTCCAAGCTCTCAAACTGAAATAGCAACAGTTGTTGAAGGATAACTTCTCTTTCCACATTTTTTCTCTTTATAATTAAAGTTGGTTTGAACTTGCAGTAATTATATCTGAATTTCACTCTCTAGCGTGGGATTCCATCTCAGTGGAATGGTCTCAGGTGGAAGATAACATCCATGGAAATCTCACCCAGTATAAAACCTACCTTATATTTGTTAATAAGGAGTGGTGTTAGCATATCTCAGTGAAACATTTCCAGACAACAAGATGTGCCTTTGCCAATGACTGCTTATGAACAGTTACACTGAGTTCTGGGGGAGCAGTAGCCTTATAAATTTGGGAGGGAAAAAGAAAAGAAAAAGCTACAGGTACTGTTGAATGCCTTTGTTTTGCTTACTTTATATTTTATTTTATTTACAATCAGTTTTACTTAGGAAAATGATAGGGGAGCCATTAAGCCATTACACTTAGAAATACCAGTGATTGCCGAAGGTTTCTTCCCACTGTGAGTTTAAGCCTTACTCCACATTCATGCTCTCCACAAATTCGGCTGCAAAGGCATACCTGATTTTTGGGACAGGAAAGTTGAATGTGTCTCAATGCAATGATAGCTACATCAGTCTTTGAAATATGTTGGGTATGAAACTCAAATGTGTTTTCATCACACTGGGGTACTGCAGCATCATTAGTATGGCAGGTAACGTTGTACGGCACGTTATTCACCCTCCCTCCCTGATAATTCCATACGATGTATCACCCCAGTGCAGCAGATCACACAGCCTAGGAAAAGATGTGATAATAGCACCTCAGTGAAGGATCTAAGAAGATGCTAGTGATGGTAGCTTTTAGAGAGATTGAGAACTTCAAATTTCACTAGAATACCGGGAGAAAGCCAGTTACTAACATTGTTGCATTGGCATATGATCTGATTCAAAAAATGTAAATCCCAACCTGTTTACTTTAATTTCACACATCTGCTCTCTGAACCAACTTTTTTTCACAGTACCTTCTCAGTGGAGCTGTATCGAGTGACTGGGGAGGTTTAAGATATGTACATTAGAGACAAGTGACTCCAAGCTTTTATATTTTCAGAGGAGAAAAGATTTAAAATGAATTGTCCCCATCCCGTTTCCTAGTTGCTTTTCAGTACTTATTCTCACAGCATTACCTCCTCCTGCTATTTCTATTCATGCTGCCAGTTCTGGCAATTTCTGTTTCTCTGTAAAACTCCTGTAAGCCTGGCCCATATCTTTGCCAAAGCTGTCATGTAAATACAGTGTTTATGAAGCTGAATGGCTACTGTGGCAATAGCAGTTTATATTTGATTTTGTCTGAACATCAGACAGTCATACAGAAGAGTCACACTCAGCAAGGTGGGAGGGTGAATCTACCCTGTGTATTTGTAATGGTTTGCAAATACAGCTATATATTCCCTTTCATTTATTGAGCTGGCTTTTGATATGGAATGCAGAAGTGAAGCTGCTGTTCCCATAACACACAGGAAGAGCAATACAAACTCGCAGAACTGATTTATGACTTATTTCCCCTAAATTATGCAAATTGGAAAACTTCAAAAGCCTTAGCAATCTGATGTAAATGGTACGATCATTGTTGGAAGCTAATTTCCATGCGTACATGTTGTATGCATGTCTTCAGACAATATACGGCTGTCTTCTATTAGCAAAAAGAAGTAGTATGCATTCATTTAATGATTAAGGACAGCCTTGTTTTCAGAGGGAAAATAGAGAAATTATTTTGTCATGACCAGGCATGGCTAGGGGTAAAAAGAAGAAAAGATGAATTGATCATTTACTGTATGATGTATTCATGGATATTCAGAAAGGAATCAAAAGAGCATATCTAACAAACCCTGCATACAAAACAGGATTAAAACTGACCTAGAAACTAATATTCAAAATGCATATTATGCAACTGAGGGAACTGGGCTTGTTTAGCCTGGAGAAAAGAATTTCTTCACTGCAGGAGTTGTCAGGCATTGGAACAAGCTGCCCAGGGAAGTGGTGGAGTCGCCATCCCTGGAGTTATTTAAAAGGCATGTATATGTGGTGCTTAGAGACATGGTTTAGGGGTGGATTTGTCAGTGTTAGGTTTACAGATGGACTTGATGACCTTAAAGGTCTTTGCCAACCTAAATGATTCTATCATTCTATGATTCTATATTCAGTCACAGATTCAGAAAGTGAAAATTTATATTAATGATATCTCTATAATCTGTTAAGTGTAAAACAATTGTTACATTCATGTTGAAGTAGAGGGGAAGGTGAAAAGTACTATAAAAAATTACAAGATTACAAGATTCATAATTTGTCAAAGATGAGGGAGGCAGGGTGGAAAGTGGGGAAGAGCTTTCATTTTTCCTGTTAGCACCAGAGGTCTAGTACTGTATATGATAGTCCCTTCCTATTAACGCAGCCTTATTCCTTCCCCTTACCTTTCTCACCTTGTTTAGTTGCTATGTTTGTTTTCTTGCTCCAGCAATCCCCACACTATTATTCTTTTCCTTGTCTTATGTATTATCTTACATATAATTGTTTTGAAGGCCAGCTATCCACATACACTACACACAGCGCAATCCCTACTGTAGCATAAAATATTGTAAAATTAGCACAAAAGTGTAGCTGTATTTCAGCACTAATCATACTGGAATTTAATTATGTTTTTATGCTGGGTTTATAGTCAAAACTTAAGTACACCTAGAAAGAAGATTGCTTTCTAGGTAGGGTCATCTGTGATTCTGTAGAATCAAGGAAACAGAAGCCTGTTTTGGAAGCCTGATTCACAAAGGAAAGGTGAAGAGCCCTTGGGATGGATATGCAAATGCAAACCAGAAAAGATAAGTAGTCAGACTTCAAGAGTAAGTTTCATTGTGTTTAGAGGCTTTGCTCATACTAGTAAATAAAACAGAATTACCTTACGGAATCAAGCACTTGTGTGTGAATGTATGTCTTATTTAATTGTTAACACAAAGACTAACTGCCAAGATTTTGAATAAAATAGGAATATTTCATAAAATTTACAGTTTTGCTTCTCTCTCCATTTGGAAGGAGAGAGTTTAAGCAGATGAATGTGAATTAAGGCATCACCTGGCCTCAGGGTTAGAAAATGCCCCCAGACTATTTATTTACTTTTGTAGACATAATCACAGGCCCCAGAAGGGGGACAGTGCACAGGTAATTCTGTGACAGGATCATTATACTGAGAAATGGATAGTAAAAAGTGTAGTCTGTCAAGGTAAAGTGTTGATTAAAGATGTGATCCCAAGCTTATTCTGCATTTTCAGCACTCCTATGAAAGTCCCAGGGGACATTAGAGGTGCCTTTTTGTGCAGTCCCTAAGGGGAACAAGCAGCTGCTTTCCCTTATAGTGCATCTCTTCTAAAGACTAATGGGATTTGCTGACAGGAGAGACATAATTTGCACCTGTCTATGCTATCTTCACAGCATCTGGTCAATTTAAACCAATTTACATCAATATTCAAAAAATGTGAATATTGATGTAATATTACACTTTGAAATTAGTCCATTCATTATTTATGATGGATGTTACTATGTGCCTATTTCTCTTTGGACTGGCTGGAAGGAGGATTACTTGTTTCTATTAAGCAACAGCAGTGTGAAAATTCTGAATTCTGCTACAAATGTGCATGAAGAACACATTCCCCCATTGAAAAAAAAGCTGCTAATACATGGATCAAATAAAAATTCTGGTTCTAAATTAATTTTGTGTCTGCAAGATTTTATTAGGACACAAAATAGTCTGGAACCATTTTATGAAGTTAAGTTTCACAAACATTTCAAGAACTTGCCTTCAATTTCTCACAACTTTGTCAGGTTCTAAGCATTTGGGGAGAAACCTTCCATTTAAGAGATTTGCCTTAGCCTGAGTTTTTCTGGAAACCATCAATAAACAGTGTATGGCTACTTCCTAGAATAAGACTGAAGAAAACTACATTGTCCTTTCAAATTAAAAAAAAAAAAAAAAAAAAAAAAGCATTGCAGTGATGCTACTGTGAAGCTCTAGTAACTCAATATGGAACAGCTGACGTGACATTTGGTAGCAGAGCAGGCCTCTGCAGTAGGAGTGTGCCATTTTCCAGCAAGTATCTGAGAAACCTACTGGCGTAACTTGAATCTGTAGGGCAGATCAACATGCTGGAGGAAACATCAGTGATATTTCATATGAGGTATGCTATTATGTCCAAGAGCTGCAAGCTGTGCCATAGATGAATTTCCAGTCTTTTCTTTGATGCTCTTGAACATCAGGAGTATGTCTAACGGTTTCTTAATTTTTGTTTTGCTTTTAAATCAAAAAACACATTCCTCACTAAGACAGCAAAGTCAAGTACTAGAAAGTTAGGAAATGATAAGATC